CAAACCCCCCCCCCCAACATAATTGGGGGTTCGGTCCCCTTCTCACCTTGCATGGAGATGACCAGCAGTGTGTAGCAGATGGTGAGCGGCATCCAGAAGCGGACGGCCTCCGCCGTGGAGAGGAAATCCCGGTTGATGAGCACCACGGCGGCCAAATCGGCCACAGCAAAGGTGATGGTCAAAGCATTCCAGAGCAGCCGAGGGATGCCATGACCGGCGGCGAGAAGGAGGATGCAGATGCCGCAGTAACGTGCTCGGCTGTGCAGCTCATAGAGGGTGCAGACGTGACGAGCCAGGCGCCGGGTGTAGGCGGCCAGCAGCCCCGCCAGCCCCGCCGCCAGCACCAGGTTGCAGGTCCTGTGGGGAGCCCCTTCCAGCAAGAAGCTGAGACCGCAGGACACCCCGCAGCCCAGTGAGTACTGGCACAGCAGGTAGAGCTGGCTGCTGTGGGTGCCCTGCGAGAGCGGGACAGCACCATCAGCTGCTGTGGAGGTTGCAAGGGGATGCATGGCTGCAAAGCGATGCATGGCTTCCCTGTGCTGCAGCCTCCCCGTAACCCCCATGGGTGTTGCAAGCAGCGAGGGGATGCATGGCTGCAAAGCAATGCATGGCTTCCTCCATGCTGCACCTCCACAGGTGTCGCAAACAGCAAGGGGCTGCACAGTTGCAAAGGCATGCATGCATGCAAAGCAACGCATTATTTTCTCCATGCCAGCCATCCTCATCCTCCCCACAGAGGTTGCAAAGCAGCAGGGGGGTGTGTAGGCTCCTCCATGCTGTGGCTCTCGTATGCCCCATGGGTGCTGTAAGCAGCAAGGGGATGCATTATTTCGGGCATGCCATAGCCCTTATCCTCCCTGCAGGTGTTGCAAAGCTGCAAGGGGATGCACAGTTGCAAAGCCATGCATGGCCTTTTCCATGCTGCAGCCCTCCATAACCCTGCAGATGGTGCATGCAGCAAGGGGATGCACAGTTGTAAAGTCATGCACGGTCACCTCCATGCCACAGCCCCTGTCCTCCCCATAGGTGTTGCAAGCAGCAAGGGGCTGCAAGGTTGCAAAGGCATGCATGCACGCAAAGCAATGCATGGTTTTCTCCATGCCAGCCATCCTCATCCTCCCTGCAGAGGTTGCAAAGCAGCAGGGGGATGCATAGGCTCCTCCATGCCAGGGCTCCCATGTGCCCCATGAGTGCTGCAAGTGGCAGGAGGATGCATTATTTCAGGCATGCCACAGCCCTCATCCTCCCTGCAGAGTTTGCAAAGCCATGCATGGTCTTCTCCACGCCATCTTCCCTGTCCTCCCCACGGGTGTTGCAAAACAGCGAGGGGATGTGTGCCTGCAAAGTGATGCATGCTCTCCTCCATGCCGCAGCCCCCATGGCTGTTGCAAATCTGCAAGAGATGCACAGCTGCAAAGCAATCCCCTTGCAAATCTGCAAGGGATGCACAGTTTCAGGGCTCCCTCCACAGCACCGCTCTGCCGTGCCTCAGTTTCCCCATCCCATCTCACCTTGCCGAGGGAGAGGATGGTGGAGACGGCGCGCAGGGAGAACTCCAGTGCCACCAGTGCAGCCACGCGGGAGCCCACCAGCGCCAGCACGCCTGTCAGCATCACCACGTGCAGCGACTCCAGCACCCACCGCTGCGTCTGGATCGCCTCCTTCTCCGCCTGCCTCTCTGGGTCACTGGGGACAGTGGGGGGGGACACGCTGAGCCGGACGGAATGTCCCCTTCCTCCTCCGCCACCTCAAAATGGGGTGACAGCCTCGGAGACCTCCCCTATGCTTTGCAGCAGGGAGCGGAGGGTGCAGCCCCTGCCCTATACACCCATGGGTGCTGAGAGCTGCCCCTCCGCCCAGACAGTGGATCCCAAAAGCAGCTCCCCAAAACAAATCCCCCAGGGGAGAAGCAGGGCCGGCGCTTACTTCAGGCACTGGATGTAGAGATAAACTTTCAGGAGGCTGCAGAGCACCGAGACGGCGCAGGCACCCACCAACCCTGCGGGGAAAAGGCAGCAGCGGGTCACCAGTGTCCCCCAGGCTGTCCCCAAGCCGTCCCCATGCCACCCCCAAGGGCTCTCACCTTGCAAGAGTGCATCCAGCAGTGCCCAGCCCCATGCCAGCCCGGGCAATGCCGGCAGCCAGGACCCCAGAGAAAACATTTTTGGTGGAGAGAAGCCACGGCATAGCCAGGCCCCAGCTCCAAAGTCCATGGGGTGGAGGCTGGGAGCGGCCCCCCCGGCTAGTAAATCATTGCCGGGGCAAGCAGGGGCAGATGGAGCCCTGGCCAGAGGAGCTGAGCTCCAGCTGCCCCATGGAGAGGAAAATTAGGGTGGGGAGAGGGATGCGGTGATGGGATTCACATGGTGGGGCTTGGGGACCACCAGCATCTTTAATCTCCCCCCACCCCGGCACCGCCATTATCCTCTCCAGCCTGATGCATCACAGCGTTTCAGGTCCTGGCTTTGCAGGGCACGAAGCTCCCCCCCCATTTATACCACCCCAAAGACCCTGAAACGACACCAAAAATAGAAAAACCCCTTTATTAGTGTCCACAGTGGGGCTGGGAGCCTGTCTTATGGCCCCGGGGGCTGCTGGTGCTGCACCATCTTCCTGAGTTCATCCCAAAAGAAGAGGCTGAGGACGGTGTGGGGGCCGAGGCGGAGGTAGACGGCGCCAATGCCCTTGTACAAGCCCAGCAGCCCCTCTTTGCTGGAGATTTGCAGGATGCAATCCAAAAAACCCCTGTAGAGCTTGCCCTGGGAAGAGAGGAGCCGGCTGCGCACCCCTGCCGGATGAAATCCCGGGAAAAGCCATGTCCCCCAGCTCCCTGTCTTTTGCCAAATGGCCTTACCGTGCCGTTGGCGTCCACCGGCTGGTTGTAGAGACGGGTGCTGACCACGTCGAAGGGTGTCATCGTCACCGCCACGGCCACACCACTCACCATGCCCCCCGCCAGCACTGCAGCCCAGCTGCCCTCCCTGAACCACTGCGGGAAATGCTGGTCATCAGCTCTTACCCCCCCCCCCCCCAAAAAAAAGGGGAGTGAGAGGGGCTGACGGAGACCGGATCCAGCACGCGTTCCTCCTCACCTGGTGCTCGCAGACCCAGTCCTTGGCGGAGGTGAAGGTGGCGAGCTGCGCAGCCGAGCCCACGGCCACGCGGGGCACGGCGCCCGTCACCCCCCGCCACAGCCCCGCCACCCCGTGCTGCTTGTAGATGCTCTTGAAAGCGCTGGAGATGCTCTGGGGGAAAAGAGGAAATTTGGGAAAAAACCGACAATGGTGCATCCCACCCCGGCAAAATTTCCCACCCCAGCGTGCAAAAACCCCGTTGCTGGTGGGTGGCACGAAGCCACCGTGGCTCTGGCCAGGTCCTGAGGGGTGTCAGAATTCAGTGGCACAACTCCGTGTCCCTGTCACCCCCTCCCCATCCTTGCGCCGTTATTTATAGCATCTATACAGGGCCTAGCTGCCAAACAGCAGCTTTAAATACCCGGTGGCCAAAATAGCATCGTCCCCGCTGGGTCCCGGCGCCTGCGCAGCCAAGGTGCCACCAAATTGTGTCGTCCTGTCCACCCCCCCCCCGTCCCCCCTCACCTCGTGGTTGTGCTGGTGGCCCACGGCCACAGCTGCCAGCGTCTGGGCTTGGAGGTGGGTCTTGACCTGGGGGAGAGACAACGCCAGGTGACGAAACCCCCTCAAGCCCCTCCCTGGGATGGGCTGTGGTTCCCCCCATCTCTTCTTAGCAGCTTTTGGGGGTGTTTTGAGCCTCTCCGGCAGATGTGGGGCACCCAGATGTGTTGCCAAACGGTGCTTTCAGACTTTGAACCCTATTTTTTTTCTCCCCCCCCACGTGCCCTGGGGCAAAGGGCCCCCCCAAACACCCGCTGCAGCCCCCCACTTTGAGCTCTGCACTCCCAAAACCAGGAGACACCCCCCCAAAAAGGGGGGAAAACCACCCCAATTTCCATACGTGGGGCTTCT